GGTGGTTATACAGCATGTGTGCGCCAGAGTTTGGTAGCAATAATCACATGACAATCGTGTTAAGAGGATCCTAAAGCTGCCTCAGAGTCCTTAAGCCACGCACTGCCACATGCATACACACTGATTGCCTGTCAGACTTTAATGCAACTTTATTGCTTCTGGGAGCAAAACCAAAGAGTTACTCTGCGGTTCCAAGTGAAGCCGAGATGGGCTTTAGAAGTCTGAGAAGTAAATATGATGATCCATCCATGGCAGTTGAGAGCTCCACGCAAGAAGACTTAGATAAACGTGACAGAGACTTGATCTACGTAAACAGATGCTACAACTGCAGATAACAGAAGATTTAACGCATATAAAAGTGTGCATTAGCTACTCTCTTGGGCAGAGCCGCTCCAGGGTGTGACTGTTTACCCAAAGCCCATTTAAACGATCAGCCAAGTGAGATAAGGGGTCAAACCTGAAATATAACGTGATACAGAGGAGCATAATGTAGGTGGGGCTTAACTTCTCTCTCCACTAGTTTCCGCTCGACACGCTGCAAGCACAACACTGCAGGGAAATGCATTATGCAATTTCTCTCGCTTTAATCATTCTAACCAGAAAGAAGCCATCCCATCCTATAATATGATAATGTGCACCACTATCTATCCCACAGGCTGTGACTTTATTTCAAAATGTTTTTTTGTCCGACAAACAGCCACCCCCTGTACTGATCTCTTATTCTTTACCTTCAAGCTAATTCAACTATATCTATTTTTGTCTTAAGTACCCAAACACAATGGACTGCAGGATCAGCACTTCGTCTGTGGTGGGGACAAATCACCATATCCTGCATGGCAGGAGACAATACCTTCTGTAGACCACTAATCAGGCCCCCAATGGCGGTGCATGCATGTGTGGCAGTGTGTGCTTTTTTGCTTTATCTACATGCACACTCAATGTTAAATATCATACAAAGCCCACTCAGTAAGAAAAAGATTTAGAGGAGAGGACAGCATAATGGGGATAGCCAAAGAAAGTGACAAAATCTTTATTTTTAAAATGTCTTTATCCCTAAATATGGGCCAAGTTAAACACATCTAACTAGCTATAAAACACAGTAGATTTTCTCTGACTTGAGCAAAATCTGCTGAGCTGCGAGAGCACTGACAGCAATTGTGCTTTCAAAGCGCTGCCTCTTTTCAAATTTCCTTCAATTCAAGGGCAAAGCAGCAAAGCTGTAGCAAATCTCTCCAGCTGAAGAGAATGACAGCGTGAGGTATAAAAGAAAGAATTAAGGAAGTTCATCCGACGTGTCAAGCGGGAACACATCCCATCCCCTCCGCTACGGCTCTGGGTCAGGTTACAGGATGTGTGAAGACAGCATTTTTCCCATGAAAATTGGGGTGTGACAGAAAAGCATTTAATGCTGCTCCCAAAGGGAAGACATCAGGAACTCTGTGCTTAAATTGAAAGAACAACTCCCTCACTTAACCTGCAGCTCATCATTCGTCAAATATAATGGCAATTTAAAAATAAATGTACGGGGCTGTAACTGTTTAAGGGTTTTTAATTATGCAAACACAATGCATTTATGCCTTTTCTATGATATCAGAGATTTCCAGCCCATACACAAGATGGAATTGATTCAACAGCCACTCACTCCATCTTTCGAACCATATTTGTTTTCAGTCTGTCACGTCTGGTGTCTCGTCATGTCATGATTACCCATTGTGTACACCTGGGGTTCCCCTCCTCATGTGTTTAAATAGTCCTCGTTTCCCCTTGTCTTGTGCGAGTGCGTTCTTGTCCTTTCGTCCGTCTTGTCCATTGTCACCCCCACGCCAGGTTTGTTTTGCCATAGTCTTTTGTTTTTGTCATAGTCACAGTTTTGCCACAGTTTTGTCATTCTTTACTTTGTTACTTTGTCACAGTCATAGTTTTGCCACAGTCTTGTTTGCTATTGCTTTGATACTTTGATCACAGTTTTCCACAGCTTTGATTTGTACTTTGTCTGGACATTCACTCTGTTTTTTGTACAATAAACCTTGTTTCCCCTCATCTCCGCACCTGAGTCCCTCCATGAACCACCCCTCCTGACACAGTCATCATCTCTTGAAGAGGTAGCATATCCACTGTTGCTCATGTTCCTTCCAAAGAACAAAGTCTAAATCAAAACTAGCTTTTAACAATTAATTCTCAGGGCTGCATTCAATGCATTTAGCAAACGTCCAACATTCATTTAAACAATCTAAGAATGAAGCTTAAACTGTTTTGACTGAGGACTTCTTTTGATTAACCCTAAACTCAAATTCTACATCTAGATTTTGCTGGCCAGTATTTCCAGAGGGTAAATTTTGTTTTCAATTACTAATATGAAACAGAAGCCCCTCAGATCTCATGAACTGAGTGTAAACCTTCCCCCCTCACAGTCTAAGGATTTCAGTGCAATATTCTCCAACCCGGGGAGCACGGTGCGGTGGTTAGCACTATCGCCTCACAGCAAGAAAGTTCTGGGTTCCAGTCCCCGGGGGAACCAGGACCTTTCTGTGTGGAGTTTGCATGTTCTCCCTGTGTCTGCGTGGGTTCTCTCCCGGGTCTCCGGCTTCCTCCCACAGTCCAAAACCTGCATGTTAGGTTGATTGGACATTCCAAATTTCCCTTAGTGAGTGTGTGTAGTTGTTTGTCTTTGTATGGCTTGTGTGTGGCCCTACGATGGACTGCCGGACCGTCCATTGACCACTGGGATGGGCTCCAGTTCTCCCTGCGACCCCATTAGGGAATAAGTGGTAACGATATTGGATGGGTGGATGGATATTCTGACCCAACCACTTGACACAAGCCTTCAGTTTCCCTTCCCTTCTCTTTGGGTCAGAAACTTGTGTTTTTCTCTGTCATCAGGCATCCTTTGTCGAGTTTTAGGCAGCTTGTTGTTCTTTCTTTCCTGTAGTAGGTCAGATAGCCACACTCTATAAGTTTGGTTCTGAGGATTCTGGATGTTCCTTTCAGATTTAAGGAGGTTTTTCTTCCTGACGTCAAGTTTTGCCCTCTCAGGATGGGGGAATTAAATTAAATGTATGTGTAATCAATTGGTTTTCTTAGTTCAGCAACTTTTTTTTAATTGCCTCAATATGAATTGGACTAAGCTGAAATGTAATTAATTTGATTTGTTGGGACTGTATTATCTGGATTCTACTCAGCATGTGTTGGACTGTGTCTTTGACGCGCACTGAAATAATGCCATGGTTATTTGGTGATGTATATGAATAAACTAATCTGAATTTAACATGTTAAAGTAATTAATCTCGTGCTATCATACATTTTCTGGAAACTAAACAAAAAAAAAGGAATTCAACTTATGTAGCGTTGCTAATGTTGGAGATTGGCCTCTACATGATTTGTCTATTTGACAATATTGTCCAGTATACTGGTCCCTGCTCCTTCATAATTGCACCACTTGGTACCATGGACCACAGTGTCTGTGAGGTTCTTGAGCATACATTTTAGAGTCCTTGTGCTTAGTGCGGAACATTTGTGTGACTAAATTGTGTTGTTTTAAAAAATATCAAATCAGATTCTTATGTGAGTAAAGAAAGTTTGACGATGCTCTGTTGTTGAACATAACACCTTAATTGGTGTCTTTTCAGCCCGGATTTCAGACCCAATTTGCCTCCTGAGAGAAGAAACATGTGAAACTCAGCTCCATAATATATGAAAAAGTACTGACACAACCAACCACAATTCAGCCTGTTGAATACAAGCATAGCCACTAATACTTGTAAATTAGAAATATCTTGATTTAATTTTGGAGTAAAGTTTATAAACTCATGTGCATTTTATAGAAATTGGCAGCAATAAGATTGCTGGTTCGCATCCCAACTTCCAGCAGAACTTTCACTGGGTTAGATACACATTAAACAGAACTACCACTACAATTTTCCCTCCTTTGTTTCTCTATGTTGTTGATGTCAGGTAAAGATAATGCTTTGGGCCTCAAACATCCACTCACAACTTACACTTGTTACGGAAACCTGTTTTGTTTGTGTGTTTTTGCTTTCTGTGTCACCACAGAGATCACACAGTTTGGGAAAATAAATATAGTTCATAGTGCCTGCTAGACCAGAAAGCATTGCTCAGCTCCAAAGCCCATCTCACGTTGTTTCAATGTTGAAAAGTTGCACAAACCTGAAAACCATGAACATATATAATCATTGTATCATCAATCTGTGATTGGTTTAATAAGGAAAAGACAACTGTCACTGGTAGATAGTCAACACTGCCCCCAAATAACAAGCATCCTTTTAATTGCTGTTACCTTTGAGAAAGTTCAGAAGGCCAAACTAAAGCTACTGCCATCTACTTTTTCTTACCATCACCCTTGTCCTCTGTGGAAGCATCCAAAGAATCTAGAGAATAAATCCAAACTGGCAGTTATTGAGCTGTTGATGTGGAGTTACCCATGTCATCCGTGTGTCTGCTCACTATTTCCATGGACCACTCTTTAACAGTAGCCTCAAAAACTGAGATATAAACTTCACAGCCACATGCAACTATCCAAACAATAAAAAATGTACCCATTGTGTCAGTTGGAAAATCATGTTAGTATCATTTCCCACTTTTAAATCTCACAGATGCAACCTCCAACATCACTATAACAACTTTATTTTTTCAGAGACCAAGAGAGTGCTGCAGAGTGATGCAGATCATATTCTTACACAAAAACAAGAGGACCAGGTTCTGGTTCAATACGTGCTGTTGCCTTGAGAGAATAACTTGGAAATATCCAGATAAAAATATATTGGAATTATATTTATGGTCAGTGTGATACTCAGTTTAGCAGTTTAAGTAAAGTTTAACTGACTCATCTAAGCTTTGTTTTTGGAAGATGAGTTGTTTTCACTCCAGTTACCTCCGAAAAAGCTTGTTTTATGAACAATATGATACATAAATTGTCCATTCTCTGATGATAACACTCCAACAGTACCCTGCTCTTTTCTGCGGTCCACTGCGCGCTGTCTTACCTTGTGCGGCGAAGAGCACCAGCAGAAGGACGGATGATAGTTTCCCGGAGAAATTCATCTATACATCGGCCACCGGTGGTGCTTCTTGTAGATAAACGGTGATGCAACACAGCGAATTTTCGCCAGTGACCTGCGGCAGACGTCTGCGAAGACCTGAGAATGGACAATCGTTTTCCTCTGCGCTCCGGAGCGTGGAGATGTTGGTGCGCGCTGCCGACATGGGGAACTTCTGCTCGTCCCGCCTCGCCCTCTCTCCCCACCACCTCTCTTTCCGCTCACCACACATCCTCCCACTCACCCACGAGCCCAAAGTAGCGACCACACACACAGTGAGTCAGAGGCGGTAAGTTTAGAATAATGAAGATATTTTCAAATATGACTCCAGGGCTCTCAGGACTCTGTCCACGACAGGAATGTATACGGGATTTGCCTGCCTGAAAACAGTTTTAAAACACATTTATTTGCAATGAATACACTTAAAAAGAAGAATATGCACAGTTAAGAGCTGCACATGTTCCTGCACACACAATAAGATCTTTTTTTTCAGTACAGATCTGTAACAACCACTGTATAAAACCACTTAATTGATTTTGCACAGGCCGTTTAAAGCATTAGCTGATAGTCTTGAGGGCTATACTCTACCCATTTCAAATAATGGAAGCTATTAATGCTCTCCAGCTCTGTATGGAGCTGCACTGAAGACAACCTGCAAAATAGTCCAGACTCTTCCCTGATGGAATTTATTGTGCATGTTTTTGGACAGAAGAAAAGAGCATTGATTGGAAGTTATTTTATTTGTGCTAATTGATTTACATTCTAGTACAAAAAGTCATGACAGTGGATGTTTCTGATCTATCAGTGAAATCGACATTACCGCCAGATTTCGCAGAGTGCCCCTAAATGTGTTGCCTGGACCCTGTGTCAGACATGCCAGAGTGTGTTATTTAAATAAAAAATAGCACAGTACAGGATGTGCAGAAATAAACTTTTAGTCCATTTTCAAGTAAATAATTCATAATACTGTGTTCATGTGCACATACACTCATGCACTGGCATGAGAATGTTGTTCTTGTTAAACAGCTTTTCTGCTCTGGAAGCACCTCCAGTCCCAGAAGACTGCAAGCATGCCTGATTCTAAACTAGTCTCATGTTAACTAATAAAACTGCATGTTTGGATTGTGCACCTAGGAGGAGTGGGAATAAACCGTTTAGCATGCTGGGAGTGGCTGGACCACAAGCCAAGATGGTGATTAAAGGTGAAAACTCGGTTTTAAGCTCAATTAGTTTTATGGCTGGGCAGTGAAAGCAACCAAGTGAGTTGTTGGGGTTTACAGGGGGAAAACCGTCCTGATTTAGTGCCCTCGTGGTAGAGAGCAGACTCCGAAGGAGCAAAGGAGAGAGAAGAAGGCAAGATACTTTTAAGGGAGGGGTGGGAAGTCTGAAAGACGGTGATCAGGGAAATTAAAGTGGCATAGAGAGCCAGTAGAGCACTCAGATCAGCTGACCGTGAAGTTTTAAAAGCTTCGCAATATCTGTTATGTGAAGAAGGAACGAGAAGAGAAGACAGGCTGGAATTTATTTTGGCTTGATATGTTTCATGGTGACAAGAGCCAGTGAATTTGTTTATGGGAATGCATTTTTCTGAATTAGCAAGAGGGAGAAATAGATGAGAAGGAGTATCTACCCACCGGCCTGGAGTGGGGAGAAAAGAGGATTCTTTACCTCTCTGGTTGTTTTGCTCTTTTTTTCTGATAAATGTTTTTTTTCAACAGTTTCTGACTCTTCGGGTATGTCAGCAGCACTTTCAAATAGTGTGTACTGTTCTACAATGTGATGTATGTAGGGCTACTATGGACATCTTTTTATCTACCTAATCTGACTATCTAATCTTATTTATAACCATTCATTTTCATTTAAATTAGAATTTAACAAACAAAGAGTTTATCTTTATCATTCATTCGTAGGTTGCTGCTCATCAACATGAAAAAATATATTATCCAACAAAGTTTATCAAAGAAAGTTAGAATTTCTTTAGAAAACAAACATTGCTTGTCTGTGAAGGACATTGATGACCACAAAGTTCTCTTCAGCCGAAAGGAAAACGACTCCAGCAGCTGGAATGTGTGTCAGAATGGACTGTCCAGCCTCATCCACATCACCGTTTCTTTCCTCTTGGCTGAATGTAATTTGTTATTTAAAGTTGCATGCTGCCTTCATCTGTACTTTTCATGTTTACAGATCTTTTTTTATCTCTACCTTGTTTCTGTTTTCTTTCCTGTCGCCCACAAATCTCACCTGTGACACAAGTAGCTAATTGTCTTAATTGTTGTTGCAAAGCTTTTGTTCATGTTATCTAATTTTTTTCTGTGACTAATGAAATTTCCAGATGAAATTTAGGTTATTTATCATTAACGCGATGTCCATTTATAAAACACCTTCCATCTGATGTAATAGCAGGCATTATCCTCAGCCAGTGCTGTGCATTAGACAGATTTAGTACCGCCATAATGGTCATGGGTTTCACTACAGTTTATAAGAAAAACATGGTGATTCTAAGCTGTAATAGAAGAAATGTGGCACATTTTTACTCCTCTTTTAAATCTTCTAGTGATAAAAAATGGACAATTTAAGTTTAAGTCTACCATTTAACAACATGGAATTTCTGTATTATACTGCAATTTATCACAACAGGCTGTTGTTTTCTGCTCTGAAGAAAAATTTAAAAAGTGGGCCTCTCAAGTAAAATTGCTGAATCTATTTATTACTTATGCTTATTTTTTCCTTGTTGTTTTTATATGTAAACTTGCTCTTACATAGATATGCTTTTTAATAGTTACATTTTTCTATTTAAAGACAAATAGGGATATTGATAATTCAAAGAGATGTCACTGCTCAAAGAAAAAAATATATATATATAGACATGCTGTGGCATCTCAGTTCAGACAAATCCTCTGATCCTCGTTCATCTGAGGAAGGTATTACATGCAGGAGATCAGATTAGTTCAAGACAGACATCATCTCAACTGGATTGCTTGCTTTGTTTCCTAAAACAGTAATGCACAGAAATTTACTTTCCAAACTCATTCAAGTACCTAATTAATCAATTAGCGAATGTAGATTCACAGGGTTTAAATATCAATATTTCTTTAAATTAACAACACTCCCTGTGAGTATGTTTTATCCCATAGCGTGCGTGATTGTCATATGGTTTTATGTTGGCCCTGTTGTAGACTGAGGACCTGTCCGGGTTACCTGGATGCTGGGATATGTCCCCCTCTACAACCCTGAATAAAAGAATGCAAAAAGCTGATGGCTGGATTAATGGATGGATGTTTGTATCATGTAAAAAATGACTTGAAGTTGAAAATGATTTACATGATCCTTTTTTGTTTCTTTAACTTATTTCTTGGTTAGAAATCCCTTCCTCTTTTTCCTCTATCTAATGTGCCACTCCACAATGAGCCCCTTATAACAACCCCTTTTTAAAAGCTTTGAGCATCCCCTTTTCTCCCACAGCTCATCCAGATATGTGAGTCACGCTACATCTGTGACCCCTCACAGCCCCTACAGCCTACTCGTCCTCAAATGCAGCCCTCCCTCCTCACCCCCTCACAACTGCTCGAGCTGCTCCTTCCTCTGCTCTCTTGCTCCGGACCAGTTAATGCCACACAGCTCCTTCTCGTTGCACTTTTACAGTGTCCACTTCAAGCAGTCTGTTTGGTCATGCTGTGGTTGGTTTTAGCCACAAGCAACTAATTAAAACCCTCCACTGCTCAAATCACAGCTATCTGATTAGAGCTCCTTGCCTCTAATTACGCAGTCATCTCTCTTTGACATGTTTTATTTCTCATTAACATTCCTTTCTATGACTCTTAAAAACAAATGCACAATGTTTAGCCCTTGGTACACCATAACAGTTTGCTCACAGGTCCTTCACTTGTCCTTTACTTAGTTATTTTTTTCATATTTATCGTCTATGTTCGTCTTGTTTTGAATGACCACCAGTGTCATAATCAGTTAGAGTGCTGCTGCCTGAGGGGTCAAACTGATCTATGTAAAGCCTGTGTGTTATCTGCTTCACTCGTGTTGGGAAAAAGATTAAAAAACACTCACAAGTGTCCGTGTTTTTTCTTGCCATCAGAGAGGATGCTCATCATAGCTACAAGGCATTTCTAATCAGTGTGTTAGGAAGATTTTAGTTGATAGCCCTTTAAATTCTTCTGACAGCAAGTGTCTGTCTCGTTCAGTTACCTCTTATCAGACATCTGGTGACATTTTTGGACTGCTGCTTGATGATCATAGTGATGGAATTATGTCCTCTTTACATGTCATTTTTCCCTTGCTTCAAAATGAATTAATCTGAATATGATTTTGATTGATGACATTTTTTTACTCTAAAATCAAACCTTTTACTCTACAGCCAGCCCATAACCTTTATTATTACTGAGGAAAACTCAAAACTCTGCAGTATCTTCTTTTGGCCACTAGCAAGCAGCAGCGGGCACTCTGATCTGTCAGCAGGTTGGAGTCTTGAGGAGATATTTATTCTTTCAGCAGGTACATTGCAGAGTGATCCCTGATCCCTGTTAAATTCCTGTTAACCCTGTAAAGAGTTTCGACCACGTCTATCTGTTCCTCAACTCTGTCCCAGTCAGCTCAGAAGAAAGGATTGATGGCAGCCTGACTCAACAGCTAGGCAGCTACACATTCTGTAATGCATTAATTTAGTTCATAAATATTGATCGCAGGGCAAAATGGCGGGTATAAATCCTGTAGGAATGTCCCGAGGAGTATGATGGGGAGATGAAGGGCAATGGTCGACAACAGGAAACAGATCAAACTGCTGACGCTCACCAAGAAGAATCGATGAACAGGCAGCTGATTACAGTGTTGGAATAGAATAGAATAGAATAGAATAGAATAGAATAGAATAGAATAGAATAGAATAGAATAGAATAGAATAGAATAGAATAGAATAGGTAATGGCCTGTTGGATGTTGCATTGTATGTTTTTACATCTGTCAAGCATTTTCTGAACATATTTCTACATATACTTTTATTGCAGCATGTCTTCTGACACTACGCATACAGCATCCATTTATGAGGGCATGTCTAGCAAAGCAGATTGAATGCTTACTGATCTCTGACTGCAGCCTGATATTATTTTTAATGGTCTTTTCCTTTGCCTATACAACAGACCGCAAAAGTCTTGTGTTCCTTATTTATGATTGACCTTTATCAACTCTGCTACCTTCTGTTACATGTCTGCTGCTCGCCTCTCTCTTTCGCTCACCTTTCCCCCTTTATTTCTTTGGTCACTCTTTATGGTCACATCTGGGGATTACAGAGCTCTGTCTACCTCTCTTTGTCGATGACTGGTAACAGAATGATGGGTTTGTGGGCACCTGTGCCATCTTTGGAGAGTGGATGTGAATATAAAATACAAACACACACATACACACCTTCACTGCATCTATGATGCTGCTGTGATGGGTGCTGACGCCACAGATTGAAGCCTGAGAGGCATTTGGGCATAATCTGAAGTCTGCTGAGCTCCTCTGGAAATCTAATTCTAAAGTTGTTGGCTCAGCCGGGTTAGCCACAGCAGCACAATTGTCAGCTCGGGTTGCAAAAAGGCACGGATTTAAGATGAGTCTGGAGATAACTTCACCTGCCGGCTCTTTGCTTTGACTAATGTGCAGCAGAGGAAGTTTTTAGAGCCACAAGCAAAAGTCTTCTTAGATCATCTAAATTGGTGAGAATTTCTCCATCAGTCAATATTTCAGTCTATGCTTTCCTGATCCTCTCCTGCTCGGCAACTCTTTCACAAATTCAATCTACAGATTAAGAGATGGAGACACCATGCCTTTATATTTTGACTTGCTTCACTAAGCTTTAAGATAATAGGTGTGCAATAGAGGGATGGAAGACGTGGCAATAATCCAACAGCTGTGTTTGTTCCCTTTAAACTTTCCATTAATTTTCCCTTTTAACCATGAATTTTTCCCAAGAACAGGACTTGAATCATGTATAATATCTAATGTTAAATATATAAATCACAGTCATAATCTGCATAGCTAAATGCAGGATGAAGCAAACTGATTATGCCTGTGCAATGTGATGCAAAAGGCATTTTGAAATGTTGTAAATGCGTTATTTGTGTCTGTTCTTCTTGTGTCTTATCTTGTGTCTTGTTCACCAGTCCTTAGATGTCCACAATATTTGTAAGTGTTTAAATATGAAGAGAGCAGCATGACCGTCCTCTGACCCCTAACAGGAGTGCAGATGCAACACTAATTCAGTAAGCTTCTTTTTTTAAGAACATAAAAATAATGTTTTTGTGTATGGATCTTTAGCACAATCTGCCCTTCCCTCTGTACATACATGCTGCCGCTCTCTTAATGGAAATTGATGCAGATGTAAAAAATCTAATTTATGTGTCGTATTAGGGGAAGGATTGGACGACAAGAATGAGCAATGATAGCTAAACCCAGCTCCAGTTCAACGGGTATTACGTCATAGATAGGATTGTCACTGTGTGTGAGTGTGTGTGTGTTTGTGAGCGTGTGTTGGTCCTCTTTGTACGTGCAGAGACTGCGTTGTTTTAACTGACTGTCCTGAATTGTGACGGGATACGGCTGATCCACACCAGGATTTCTGTTCAGGTCAGTCTTTGGTACATGTGCCACACTGTGGGAGGTATCCCTATTTCTTAAAGAACAAAAAAGAAAAAATCCCTCTTGAATAAAACCATTCAAATCTTTTGGTAAAAAATTGTCTTTAAGGAAATATTTGTTTGCAGATTTCTGGGCAATAAATATCTTAAATGGAATAACAACTATGTGTGTGTATTTGTGTGTGTGGGACTTACATATTGTTAGCAGATTATTATTTTACACAGCAATTCATTAAAAAAAGCATTAAGAGTTGTGAGCAATCAGAAACTTGTTTGTTGTTGTCTTTGGAGGAACAAATTATTACTAACCATAAAGTGTTCAAATAAACTCTCATTTCAACTGTGAATACATCTAAAATGGTCAGTAAGGATTAAATCTAAACAAATACCACTAGAATGTATTCATTTTCTCTGAATAATATGTATATCTTTTAAAAAAAATGTTAACAATAAATTTATTACTAAGCTTCAAAGTTGAGGTTTAAATTAGATCATGTGAAATGTGATCATCCATTGCCTGTAGTCACTAAATAGCTAACTCCATTTGACATTCACCTTGTGTATTTACGTCATACATAAGGAAGCATCTGCTATACAAAAAGGGGGATCATGACACAGACCCTCCAGATACCTCCAGTTTTTGTTTTTTTGTTATGGGCATGAGTGCATGCATCCCCTGGCTGCGTCTCCTCAGCAGTCATCTGGCTTTGCTGCCTCCAAAGGTAGCAGAAGGTGTGGCTGTCCTGAGGGTATGAGACTGTCCTATGACTCTGTAAGATCTGAACGCTTCTCCCACTCAGGAGCACAAAAAAACAAACATGGGCCCTGAAGAATTTTCTGTGTAAAAAAATTGTGACTTGTTTTCTGCCATTTTTTCTAGAAGGTGATGCACATACAAACCTGGTGCTGTAAATACACCAAACAGAAGGGTAAACACTGGGATGCCAAGTTGGGGACACGCCTTTGAAGAGAGTTACAAAAAAGATTACATGCACAACTAAATGTTGTTGTCATGAATTAAATACGACAAGATTGGCTTACCAAATAATATGAATGCTGTTCCTCACTGTTCATCAACTGTTTGTTGCTCTCATTTTCCTTTATTGATCAATTTATGCAAGACATCAGGTTCCTATCACAATACTTTCCTGAACAATAAAACAATGGACGCATGACCGACCAGTGGGAGGAAAAAGAGAGGCCCTGTTTCAGTCCAAAATCCACTCATAACACAATGATGAAAGAAAATAATATAGCTGCATCAGTACAGGCAACGTTTAGCCCGTTAGCGTTAGCAGCAGTGACAGACATGTGCAGTATCACAGTGACAAGTTCTTATCCCCCTTAGAAATGATTAGCTGGATATATACTGGAGTAATTTCTCACAGAGCAGACTCTAATGACTGAGCACACAGTGTGACAGAACATAATGTCAGTGGAGAGATGGGCTGTTTGAATCATACACACCAGGATGATGTGTATGAAATTCAGTTAATTATGATCACTGCTGGTTTCCTCTGTGATGGACAGGAGGTGGGTGGATGCCGGGAGACTTCTCCGACAGAAAAAGGGAAACTTAAGAGAAACATGTTGAAACACAACGGCTTTACGGTCACTTCAGTCATTTGTAACATCATCGTAACATCTCTCCGTTTAAAATTGCAACAGCAGTTTATTAATAAAAATAGTATTTAAATAGATTTGATCACTCTGCACAGTGAGTTGTGTGAGCATTAAAATAAGTTGGGGAAAATCTAAGACAAATCTGTTGAGCAGCCACGAGTTCTGCATCCCTTCTCGTCTCATTCTAAAGGCAAATCCTACGAATGTATACAGTAAATGTGCTATTGGTTAAAAAGACACAAGAGGAGTGATCTGTTGTGCATTTAAACAGAAAGGATTAATCTTATTCTCTTTAAGGGTGCATCGGAAATGTGAACATCATAGAATAATCTTTTCATTTCAGGGCCCTGTCTGCCAGTTAATTTAGACCAAATGAGGTATTATTTAATGACAGTGCTGGCCCCAATTCTGTTCCATTAACATGATTATGATTTAATAGGATGGTAGAAAAGAGCAGTACTTTTTAAGAAAATCCGTTCTAAAATCTAATCCTGAGTTTTTCTTGGCCAGGTAAACTCTTCTGAACAGTGATAAGGGTTAATCTGATGTAATTTAAATGTACTCCTTTTACAGTGCTGTTTCATTTTAGTCTTTCAAAAAGTTAAGAATTTTGAGAGAAAACGTAATATTTATAAACAACAGTTCCAATCTCCTTTCTGCATTACGTTAAACAGAATTTGGTTATTGGTTACTTGGTATTTGGTTTCCTTTGATAATGACAACAAAGCAAAAACGTGTGTTTTGTGGTCTATTCTATTTCTGTTTTTAGGGATTACACTTCACTGTTCTTGCCTAACATTTGAATGTTAGGTAAGGAAATAAACTGGCACCTGACCCTGGCACCTTGAAGGCAGGTCACATATAGGAAGAGGAGAGTGGACCATCGTAAAAGAGTAACCGGTGGGAGAGGGCTCAAGTGTCATTTCCTGGTTGGACTGCGGCGAGTGGTGGACGTGTGAGTTTCACATGTTAAATTCGTTACCAGAGCTGAATTTTAGGAGAAGAGTAAAAGCAAATATCTAAGCCACATGAAAATCAAAGTTCAGGATTCAGGTTTCAGTTATTCTCCGTGTCATCGACAATGGGGGTGTTATAACTCTGGAAAAGCGGCTGCATGAAGAGGCCCAGCGTACCGACCACACACACAAAAACAAAGATCCACAAGAAGAGACGGTCGATCACCATGGCCACATATTTCCAGTCTTCAATGATCTGCAGAGAGACGGGAAAGTCACACCTTAAATTCTGACATTGCATTGTTCATTTTTGCGATTCTAAGTGAAGCATGTTATTATAATTCACATCTACTTATTCACTGTCTTAAGTCAATTAACTTTGAAGAAGCAAAAAATCTCTTAATGAAATTTGCTGATGAACTTCTCTGATGACAGAATTGCCATTGTAACTGCTATGTATGTTGCTCATTTATGTTTTATGACATTCCTAAAGAGAGGAAATTTCACAAAGCTCAGAAGACAAAAATGATTTGCCATATTTCAGGAATTAGAGCCTATCCCAGCTGTCATTGGGTGAGAGATGGAGAACACCATGGACAGTTTGCCAGATGCTCCTATATGCTATAAAGATCTTTAAAGATTAAAACCAAAAACTGAATCACAGTGACATTTGTTGCAGCTAACATCTGTGGATGCGTCTTCCAAACACCTACCCCCTCATCATCATCCTCACTCTTCATCTTCTCAGCAATGTATCGCACTCCATCCACTGCATCCTCCACATTAATGCTGCCCTTCAGAGTCATCCTCCTTCTGAACTCTGTGTTTTCTGGCAAGTCACTGATCCTCCAGCCGTAGCGTTTGGCTGACTCCTCGTTGACATAGAACGATGACGAGGAATCTGCAATTCCCGATGTACTTCCGATCCCACCTTCGGCTCCACACAGCCTCTGGTCTGCTAACTTCTGTTTTTGGGTTTTTTTCCGGAATCGTTCTCGGATGTTGGAGCTTCCTGGTCGCCGCATGAAGAGGAAAGAGGGGAGCCGGTACAGGAAGACACGCTTCACCCAGGGCGGCATGGTGTGCGTGCTGGGGGAGCGATGGTGCACATTGAGAACGCAAACACTTGTGACGATGGAAAAGGTGACTAGCACCATCGTAAACATCAAGTACTTTCCAATCAGAGGCACTGCTAGAGATGTTGGTGGCACTATCTTGGAGATAAGGAGCAAAAACACAGTCAGGGCCAGGAGGACGGAGATGCAAAGGGTCATCTTCTCACCACAGTCTGACGGCAGGTAGAACACCAGTATAGCTAGCGATGTGATGAGGATGCAGGGAATGATCAGGTTGATGGTGTAGAACAGAGGTTTTCTCCTGATAATGAAGTCATAGGTGATGTCCAGGTATCTGATGTCATTAGGGTCTTCATTCTTGCGTCCAGGGAGCGAAACAATATCCCACTCACCGCTGGGTTTGAAGTCATCACGTGAGGCATAATCACTGAGCAGGATGAGATCAATCTCTGTGTGGTCGTACGTCCAAGAGCGAAACTTGAGGGTGCAGTTCTGTTGGTCGAAGGGAAAGTCCCGCACTTCAATTTTGCAGGCTGATTTGTAGATTGCTGGTGGAAGCCAGGCGACTTCACCGTTGTTGGAGACCACAGCATTGGAGTAGAAGGACACTTCATATGTCCCATCGGCACTGAAGAAAAGTAAGAGATGAGAGGGACAAAAGGAAAGGTACTACAAAAACAGGACGGGGCATAGTGCCACGTTCAGCTTCAGTGAAAATCATGATCCCTCCACTACCACGGAGGGATCATGATGAGAAAACAAAGTGATGAAACAATAGAATGTGCTCCACATTGTGCATCCAGTCAGGAGATATCTTCTCTCCTCTTACTCTTCGTTTAATTTTTGCAGACAACATCACTTCAGTGTTCACTCATCCACATGTGGATTCTCACCACTGATTACATTAATTACCACATCTCATCCATCCATCCATCTTTTTTTTACAACCACTTAATCCAATTCCCCATTATGAGAGCACTGGAGCTTTTCCCACCTGTCACTGGGTACGCACCCTGGACAGGTTGCCAGTGCATCACGATGCCACAAAGAGACAAACACACACACACTGACAGTCAATCAGCAGTAATTTAGAATCATCAAAACACAATGACTAAAAGTACTGAAAAACTGTCATTTTCTTTTTGGATTAAACATGCATTATGATCTCATTTTATTCACAGCCCCAACTTGGCAGGTAGGTCCATATCTCTGAACATTGGTAACTATGATCTCCTGGGTATGTGTAAAATGAATTAAAAGAATGTACATATCATCTTAAGGGAAACAGCTTGACCAGGTACACAGGACATCAAATTACAGGCAAAGTTAAAATCTGCAGAGATTTACTTTTCTTCTTCACCTGTCTAAGGTGGCAGGTGATGTATTATAAATCAGTCTCCTATCAATTATTAAATAGGCCAGGAATCACACTTAGTGTCTAATGTTTTGGGGCTGCTGTATGCAGGGAAATAAAAAATGCAGTAGTCCCACCTGTTTAGAGTGATTTCTGGTGTCTCAAATTAAGTCAGATTTGCCAACCTGAAGTCACGAGGTTGTACTGATCATCTATTAACACTTTATGTGCAAACCAGTCACGGTTACACAATGTATTTCGGCTGACCGGCAGTTAGGCTGAACACTTACATGCAGAGCAATATTACTTTGAGACATTGCTGTGACATAAACGAACTGCGTAGATCACCTGGATCACTTTGAAATATTGCTGAGCACAAATGTGTTATATGATTCACTTCTGTTATTTTGTCATTTTTTTCGTATGTCACAATACAAAAAATAGTGTAGTCACACTCATACTTACACAATACTTACTTATACCTATTATATGTGAAATACACATGCAGATGTTTAGTTGTGATATTTACATACACCCAGGAAGCAGGGGCTCCTGTCCTCACCACATTTTGTGGAAAAAACTCATTTATAAAAAATTAGCAGTAAATGTTACACAATTAACTAGCAGATGGAAAAGAGACACAGGTGTTGGCCTACATGGCTGACAGATGAGGTGAGGTCCAAAAGCCTTCATCTACGTCAGCTAACACTCCTGTGAATAGATTCAGCAGAACTTCCTCCTTGATTTGACAGCCTCGCCTATTTCAGCCACAGTGATTTCAGGCAGCCTATACCGATGTCTTCAGATGTGTACAAATGTCAAAATGTCCACGTCAGTGTTATGTTAGCTCTGCCCTGTACGTAAAACTAGGTGTTTAGCTATTTTGACTAACTCTTTACATTAATTGTATAATAATTACATGCAAAATTGATCATAATCTTTATGCTAATAAACTTGCCTTTGTCCCTCTGTAGAACAAAAAAAAAAGTATGTTACTGGCACAGTTTTTCACTACATTTCAGTCTCTTTGGGTTTGAATATTAAGCCCAATGTGCAGAGGTTGGAAACTCGTCAAATCAGAAGCTGATATGGTTAATTTAATCATGGCTGTTGAAAATATTAACTGTTTTTGGAGATGCATATGTTTAGCAGAAGACACCCCAAAGTAGCCTTGCTATTTAAAAAATTAAGTTGTATAAGCTTTCTTGCTGCTCCTACAAAACTCAATGGCATACACATGCAGTATTTCTGTGATGTAATCATCATACTTGTTATAGAGGACGATGTCTGGCAGCCAGATGTGTTGTGACGGGAGTCGAATCTTTTTTATTCCCTCATACTCATCAGGATCCCATGTTAATCTGTAGTCGTTCCATCCCTGAAGTAAAAATATAAGCAGACACAAACAAACACATGCTTAACATTTAGGTTAACCTTTTTTTTTAAGTGCAGTCCATCATCTTCTCAGGCTAATCCATTGGACCGGCTGTGTGTCTTTGCACATTTTTCTACAAAACACTGCACCGCAAAAAAGCTAAATGTGTGTGTACACAAGTAATAAAACATGGATACTTCCTGTTCCCCATAAGCATTTGTACATCAATATGCAGTCAACCTGACAAAGAAAAGAGTTCAAGAGAATGGATACGAACACAAACCTGTGTGAGCCAACAGTTTGTGGTCATTATCTGCTCCCTCTCATTCTGAAACACAGATAAACAAGGCTGAAAGCTTTACAGAGCAAACTCTCATTTGCGTTCACAATTATTTGAGTTAAGAATAAGGTGCAGTAAGTTTGCCTGCTTCCTCACCACATTGATCAGCTGGGCCAGAGACACCAGGATGTAAATGGTGACCTGCTGGCTGTTGTTAACCGCTGGTCTGATAAGCTTGTTGTAACGCTCCGGTGACAATAGGTGATTCACTAGCCGCTCCTCCACCTCCGCACACAAGGCAGCTGGAGAAAGAGGACAAAGAGAATCAATGGAATAAAAAAGGAGGTACGTCCTGAGCTTGGATCAAATTTAGGGCGATTAAGGCAAACGCTACAGTACGTTTGATGTAAACTTAGTACCTCTGATTATCTGCAGGACACCATCCCCACAGTGCAGCATTGTAGTGTGAGCTGATTAAAGTCCCATAGTGCTGCGGGGATGTCATTTTACCAGAGTTATTGAGAAATTGGACAGAACCAACTAAATTGATGCTAAATTCAGAAAATGCTGCCAGGGGAAACCTAGCAGTCCTGTAAAGATCTCTAAAGATTGAGGCAAGGAACCTAATTTTCATAAATGCTTCAATTTTGTTAGATTTTTTTGTTTTTTCTTTTGTTATCCATAATCCCTAAAATACTTATTCACCAAAAGGACATAACTAAAAACACTCATGCATTCATTTACTTTTTTCATCAATTGCTTCTGGCCATCAGTTTTTCTCCTCATATCTGCTTGCTTTAATGTTTTCACATAACCGAACTCCCCATTTTGCATCTAGCTGAGAATAACTTTTTTAGTAGGTCAATCACAGGCTTTAAATATCTAATATTAATTGTCTCCAACTTATTCTTAACTTTTTGTGTTGTATACATTTTTCCACAAAAAAAATCTCAGGTCGATGTACAGTAGTTAGCTATCAGTCAGCTCTCTGTTAGCTGACATACTGTAAAGCCTTATTTATATCCTGGGGTCAGCAGGAAGACAGCGGCAGAAATCCACCCACACCTTGGCCTCTAACAGCTGAAGCATTGTTAAAACCTCGTGTTGTGCAGTCTGACCGATGCCGCGCTGTCGTGATGAAGCGTGCCGAATGTACTCAGCTGTGATGAGTGTGTAATGAGAGCAATGAAATCAATGTTGTGTTTAGTGACAGACCAAGTCACATCACACGCACACACGTTATCTACCTATTCACTTCCCACGCATCTCATCATACACGCCGGGGATGCAATGTGTAGTTCATGAGAGTGTAATGGGTTACAAATTGTACAAAGCAGACGTGAGAGAGAGCACTGCTGAAGAGCAGATTTTGATGTATCTGTACATACAAGATAGTTCAAATGAATTCAGTTGTTATCACCAATTTCAAATATTTTAAAACCCATCACAGCAAGATCTCTGCCATTTGTTTTTTTTAAACTAAGTGTGATATGCACTTAGTTGAAAAATGCATGGTCACTTCTTAAGTTTGTTAGTTAAAGGGGAGTGATGAAAATAAACAATTATTTGGTCATTAAAACTAGGTGAGTTATTTTAGTTAACTGTAAGCTGCAATCTAAGTTGTAAATTTTATTATCCTTCATAACTTAGTTTAAAACTTATATTAATCTTTTATCTCATTCTTTTCACTTTCACTTTTTTTGTTTTGTTTTTTTTTGCTCTTTGTAACTAATCTAATAGCTATTAAAGAATAATGAGGCAGCAGCATAATGAATAAGGATCTCACTGTCTGTCTTGTGTTTTGTGGCCCACTCAAAGTGGCATATTAATGCCAAACAGCAATATTGCAAAAATAAAAATGAAGCCCTTGTTTACGAGGCCAAGCCACAATTAGCTCACGTCCAAATACAAGTAAATCCTAACAATAACAACAAAACAAAAAGAATATTAATTGCATTTTTTTCATAATGCCAGTCATAAAGAGCAACAGGAGATACTTACATAGAAAAGAAGTTTGAGCTGAAATTGTTTTGCAAGCACTTCTGAACTGAGATTCAAAGCTGTTTCACATATTACACTGATATATATCAGAATTTAGTCATGACAGCTCAAAATGTCATGTCAAGAGAAAACTGAAATGAGTACTGCTGAGTTTTAAAAAGGCAGGGTAACTAATGAGAGGTGTACTCATCACATGGTCACCATACAGTAACACTCAGTAAGCCTCTGTCTGAAGAGGAGACAGGAGATGAGTCTGATGCCAGAGCGTCTGTGTGATGACAATATACCCCGAGGGGTCGACATCCTCACAGGCACAAAGATATTCCCGTCAGGATCAGATAGAAACATGTCCAAGAAGAGCAGAACAGATAAACACAATAAAGAATAGAAAAGTTCATTAGATGTATCCGCTTCTGTTGTGCAGTTTCAAATGCTCTTTTTAAATCTGTCAAAATCTAAATATATACTTTGTTGATCAAACAATACTGTCATGCATATAAAATCACTTACATTGTTATCAGTTAGTTTCTCTGTCAACTTCATCTCCAAAATGGCTAAATAAGCTTTAAGCCAACCCAAACTTAACTTCAGAAACCTTGTCTCTTCAGATTACCGAAACATGTTTGTGTCAGTGTAATCTTTTAGTTTCCAACTTTAATGTGTCCTTCATTATTCATAATACTTTTTAACATCATTTTTTAATGGTTATCCATCCAAACATACTTTTTCTGCCACTTATGAACCACATTATCTGGTCAACACCCATAGCTCATGACCATAGATAAGGGCATGAAGGTGGCTCGACTGATAAATGTATCTGCTCACCTGTCACATGTTCCTCATAAGCCATCCCTGATACAGAGTCACTGTGAACTTATTCTGAATGTTTTTTCATCTGTCTTGAATGACTCCAGTTGCCTGCTGGAGGTATCAGTTTTTCTGAGTACAAAATCATCTGCAAAATGTACTGACGAAGGCCCAAGAAAATGGCCAAAAATTCACTCAGCACCCCCAGTTTTTCAGATCTTCTTCCCCCATTCCACAGAGTGAGGCTACTCATATTCCAAATGGCCAGTGCCTGAAGCATCACCCACAAAACACTAAAAGTAACACAGTTTTACAAAGTCATGTCCACTAAAGTTATGAAAGTTTGGTTGGAGAAGCTCAAGAAAGGTTAAAAAGCTGGTCCTCTGCTCCACGAGGAAGAAAACCCCGTTGTTCATCCTGAATCCAGGGCTCCAACACCATTCATTCAGTTCTGAACCATTAACTTTCATCCCATTGGGAAATGTTAATGTGATGCAGACCAATCGTTTTTATCTGAATCTTTCAATGCATAAAATTCAGATCGGTGAATGTACTGAGACACAAAGATATACTGTGTGTACTGTGGCCATGCTTATGATTGTTTTGTACAAAATCATAGTTTAAGGGTTGTTGTGTAATGTTTGAATACACTAAGTCATAGTTAGGGAAGTAGTTTAATAATAGTGAGCAACATTTTAAATACACGTCACTGTAATGGTCAGACCTGCAAAGGGGCTCCAGCAAACACTAGTGTGTCCACCTTTTGTGTTTCCAAGACTGTTAAATGCTCGAGTGAAATGGAAGTTGTGATTTTTTCTGATAAATCTAAAAGGGACAGTACAAAAAAAAAAACAGCACAAAAAATGAATGAACTGAGAAACGAAGAAGACTTGGCATGACGACACTTAAGATGGGAAGTGTGGATTGTGTGTATGGAAAAAAGCAAGGAGATATCTTTGACAGCAGACGCTAAGACTGGAGATGAGGATAAAATGAGATGTGTAGAAGTCTGACATAAGTCAAGATGAAGCAGTGGGGAGTCTACCAGCAGGCCTCATCACACACACACACACACACACACGCACACACACAGACGCTCCTGTCTGCCTCACTGCACTCACCACACCTCAATAATTCATGTTCGCTAAAATAAAAATACCATCATCTTTGATGCACACAGACTCCAACACAATCACAGATTACCCTCCAAGTCATTCCCACCCACATGGAATCAACACAGCACTCATCATACACACCAGTAATGCAAAAAAAATCAAATAAACAATGGTCCAGATATGGGGATGATCTATAAGATCAGTCCAGTGTGGACAGAATAAAATAAAAATCAGATTATGCATTCTGTGGGTCTCTTTTAGGGATGCTGAATTATTCAGTGCATTACCATCTGTGGTGGACCAAAAGAATTCAGGCCTGTGCTGTCTTCAGCTTTACTCAGTACTCTGCCCTAATCGGTCATGCTATCAGAGACACCCGTGCCTTTCATATGTGAGCCCATGTGGTCAAATTCCAACTTTGATTCAAATGAACATGAAAGATTTCATGTTCTTGTTATGTGATGGGGATTCTGTTGGTTTCTTGGGAGAATGATATCTAAAAGCAGTTATCTTGTCCTATCTGTCACGACCTCTCCCATGGCACTCTCTGTCCCGATTTGCTCTTTCTTGTGCAGAGTAGCAGATACAAGGGAGAAACAACAGAATTTAAGGAAAGAGTTTTCCCACTCTTTTTTCTATTCACAAAATATTAGTTTTAACAGATCTTCAGATTATCTCTGCGTAATGTAGCCTCTGATGTTTGGGATGAGCACTGATGGTCATTGTTTCTGCCTGTTTCTGTAATTTAAAGAGTATCATCCAAACAAGTTTCCCTGTACAGTGACTAATGGTTTACTATAAGGTGCCATCTCAAGGTTTCAGAGCCCTGATCATTTGTGGAAAAAAATGACTTAGTTTTCAAACTATAAGAAATTGAATCTTAAGAATAAAACCTGTAGCAAAATCTTGCATATTTCTCCCCGCCCACATATGAAGTCATGAGAAATGGAGACATTTTAAGATGCTGGCACACACTTCCAAGCATTTTTTTTAAATTAACATACAGCTACATTTAAAGTCCACAGAATTCAGCTCACTGAAAAAGACAGAAAAAGCAAAAGGCAAAACAAGTGGGATACAGACGGCAGCGTGTCAGAGAATTCAAAGCCGAATGAAAGTCTTCAACGATAATGTACAGAGGAAGGCAAAAAGCATGATGTGAATGACAGTCAAAAGCAATGGGAGCCAACCAAAGACATAAAGAGACACAGAGCAAACCAACCCCCACAAAGTGGCTGGCTAGATTTAGTCTTTTTGCCTGTATGAAGTTTGACTGACGTGACAAAGCAACAGTACACTGGTCACACTGGAGGAGCCATGAAAAGGAGTCAAAGCTTCATCTGTGACCATACAAACCACTCGTACTGCTCAACAAACAAGAACTGCTCTGCTTTTAATTCAATTTCACTAACAATCAAAGAATTAAGCTAATTTTCCTTTAGGTCTTCATTTATATGGTCCACCACAGTGAGGACTAATACCAATGTCCTCAAGCTGGTTACAAATAAAGTTTATTTGTGTTGCAAAAGCTGATTAAAGAAGACTTAAAAGAAGGCCTGTTTGTTTAAACCTTTTAGGAGTCATCAAGAGGAATTTGAATCTGAGCATGACTGAAAAATATTTTGTTGGATTTAATCATATTAGATCTAATAATTACAACTGAATTTAATTCAACTGTAGTAACTTTTTTGTTTCAGTTTGTTCACTTTCTCTCTAAAATGACCTGAGATCATCTTTGCTACGTAATACCCCCCCCCCCTTCTTTTTTTTGTGGCTCTTCATTTTACTTTTTTTCTGTGTACTATTCCTGTGATGTACCTGTGAGTTCAACTGAACATACAGTGATGGAAATGTAGTGACAGGAAAATGTCAAAGGTTACACATGCATTGATGCACTACAAGGGCCACAGAAGTAATAATGAAAATGTTTTGTCCCATTTTGTTTTTCTTACTATTGAGCTCCTTAATGAGCCAAATCAAACGCAAACTAGAACATTCTGAAAAAGCAACACACCTATGTTGAATGTCCGACCTGTGCCAAAGCTCATGCATGACGAGTGGCTTGTTGTTCAAAGAAGAGCCAGTTGATTGAGTGGTGTTAAAATCACGTGTTTTAACGCCTGACAGAATAAAACGCTACAACCGATCCACACCGGCCTCTCCCCCGGTGTCCGGTGCAGTGGATAAGGTAAAAGCATGGCGTTAATGTTTCTCCACAGAAAAACAAATACATGAACAACACACTGCTTATGGTCAGTGAGAAGAGATTGCATGTGTGGCTGTGGCACTTCCAGCTGCAAAACAAAGAACTTGTCGGACTTAATAACCGAAAAATGAAAGATTGTTTCATTTAAACCACAATCTAAAAGTGTCACAGCCTGTTACAGCACCTGCCCCGTCCCGTAGGAGGGTTAGAAAAGATTACTCACTTGCCACGGTGAGAACCAGGACGGCCAGCGCTGTTTTCACCGGGACTGCCATCGCTTCCTCCCCTCCAGTGCGACGCGCTCGAAAAAACTTCCGTCGGTATAGGATCTGTCGCGTCGTCTTGTTTTTGTGCCTTCGATTTGTAGGGAAGTAAAAACGAGAGACAGTTAAGTAAAAAAAAAAAAAAAAAAGTCGGGATGAATCAGAGCGGTTTCATCGCGCCAGACTCGGTAGAGGAGAGCCGGTAATTGAGGGCTGGAGGCATGTGGAGGAGCGCATGCAGACTGTTGACTGAGCCGTGAGATGAGGAGGTTTGGAGTTGGATGCTTTCTGCTAGAGCGCACCGACTCCAGCGCTGGTCCTGATGCTGAGTGCGCGCAGCGGCGGCCGGCAGAGGAGATCACAGCCCCCTTGATTCTTTCTTTTTTTGCAATGCGAGCAGCTATCCGGGGAAATAGGAGTCCGGAGCTAGTGGGGATACTGCAATCCTGTTATCACCAAAGCGGCCATTCTTCAGATGAAATATTCAAGCGCACAGGTCCGCTCTTTGCCCCTTCCTGCCCAGCGCGCTCAGCCACGGTCGCCAGTTTCACTGCACGCCGTCTTGATGGACAAAGTTTGACGCGTGAGACAAAAAAACAGGAGGCGATTACAGTTAGAGATCCCTCTGGGACGACCTTTAACCAGCCTAATCTCCTCCAATTAAGTGAGCTTTCCCTCGAAGGAGTTTTCTTTTAAACTTGATCAAAACTGCTCATTATGAAGGCCTGCCTCAAGAATCTGCCCTTTTTTAATTTGTAATCTTTAAAGGGGAAATATATCTAAAATTATTTTAGAATAAACATGAAAAATGCAGTCAGTAATTTATAAACAGAACTTGTTAACAGCAATATAAAAAACTTGTTATTTTTCAGTGCAGTCCAGACTCAATGAGCTTGTAGGACATGGAGAGCAGAGGCTTAGGGCATGACATTGTTTTGTGCTGGGAACATGAAAGCCTTTGGCCTGATGATAGGCCCGTAATTCAGAAATTGCATCAGATATTGCATTGATTATAGAGGCTGCCTGTCCATTGATTCCTTCTCTGTCCATCAGGAGATCAAAGGTCGCAGTAAGCCACAGACATCATGAAATACTGCAAGCATAGACAGGGGCAGAGAAGGAGACTGCTGTTTCTAAAAAACAAAAACAAACGCAGCACCTGATTTCAACATGAGCTGCAGCAGTGATGCACAAAGCAGCAGCAAATGCTATCCTTTTTTTAAAGTACCAATAAAACACCAGGGAGAACAGATTTGTTGTGAACTTACTACAAAATCTTTAACAACAAAGGGATTTTTTTAACGGGGGAGGTCATCTCAAATCATACCTCCTGCAACACACTCATGATGCATGAGTGAGTGCACATGCTTGTGTGCACATGCGCGCGTGTGTGTGTGTGTGCACACATAGAAGGCTACAAAACCACCTTTTAGCCATAGGTTTGGTTATGTGATTGCTTGATAAAACTACTCCAGCTAATTATTTCAGCATGGACAGAGAGGTCAAATCCAAAAGAGTAACATATATGAATAAAAATGCAAAGAATGGATATACTATTTTTAAAAATTGATTGAGAATAGATAGAGAATTGTGTGGAAAAAACATTTGCTATTGAGGAAATGTTTAAAATGTTCTTTTGTTACATGTTTTGATGTGTTCAGCCACAATATTATCAAATTGTACTGTATCACATTCATTTTTATTAAACGTTGAATTCAAATAATTTTCAAATAGAGCTCTTCCCCTAGGTCATACTTCTTGCATTTAGTCATCACCCAAGCAGCAGTGATAAATAATAACTAAGGGAGAAAGTGGTGAGTGGAAGGCATTTAAAATGGTTGCCGTCTCCACCTTCACCATCAGATCGCAGGTCAGAAAGAATTTCTATACTGGCATCCCTTTCAGGGTCTCTGACCCCTGAGTGTATCAAGCAGCCATAGAAAACTGATGGACAGATGGATGCTTTTTCAGACGACCGTCTCTAATTGATAAACCAAATTTTGAAATATTATCCCAACTCCAACTTCCACGAGCAGTGGTGAAAACTAATTTTCTCCAGGTGCCTGATTGTTTCTTTGAGACACTATTACAACATTTTCTAAGCCAATGCAGTTTTGCGCATGACATCTCAAACATTTACAGTTGAAGAGGCCTGCTCCGAAGGTAAGTGTTCCCCCATTCCGTCATACAACCGAAGCATTTCACAGCATACGTGCAGGAACACACACTCTATAGAATAGCCACAGCTCCAGTTTCAACCTAATTATATTATCCCCCCATTACACCCTGTTACAGCCACACTTGAGCAACATGCAAGCATCAGCCTAGTGAAGCCCCCACCTGTCTCTACTAATAAACATTATCTCTGCATCCTGAAAGCAGCGGAGAGGAGCAGAGGGAGGCCAGATTTAATCAGAGCTACTTAAAGCTCACTGTGGGGTCTGCAGAGGAGCCAGCCAGCAAACACACAAGCACACAGCACAGGATCCTTTCTGTCAAGCTTTTTTTGCATACTGTGAACTACAATTGGTAGTCACATGTACCACCTTGATACTACTCTGGCCAGATGTGTAATAGCCTGCAACATCTTTCACCAATGCATGAAAGTTGACGCACACATAGGCCGTACTAGGACAAACAAACAAGCTTCCTGGGAGTATAGTTTCAACTCAGCAGGAAGTCAGCCACATTGGTGTGGTGGTTAGCACCATCGTGTCACAGCAAGAGGGTTCTGGGTTCTGCGTGAAAGTTGCATGTTCTCTCTGTGTGCGTGGTTTCTCTCCAGATACTCCGGCTTCCCCCTACTGTCCAAAAACCTGCATGTTAGGTTGACATTCTAAATTGATGTTATGAGTGAGTGTGCATGGTTGTTCATCTCTGTGTGGCCCTGTGATGGACTGGCAGACTGTCCAGGGTGTACCCCGCCTCTCACCCATACTGGGATAGGCTCCAGTCCCCCTGTGACCCCTTTAGGGAATAAGCGGTTACGATAATGGATGGATGGATGGTTGACAGACAGCTCCTGATAGTCAGTGTTTTGTCAGTGTCATTGCTCCAGACAGTTTTTGATAAAAGTGGCCCACTGATCACATGTGCATGTCGGTATTGACTGATACCACCTTCACAATGAATATCTGCTGAAAGGACAGGATCTCCACATCCTTCAAAAGGTTCTGTAACAGAGGCAGGAGCCCCGCCAGGATGCAACGGCCTTTATCTGTTGCAGCTTTAGTTATGACTACTGTGGTACAAACTATGTATTGTAAGCAAATTAAAAAAAGAAACAAATGAGAGTCCTAACCATGTGAATGCACAGCTTTGGATTGACCGAAACACAGTTTTACTCATGGTCCTACACTCAGTGATATGCACTACAATATCACACCTTCCCATTTGCTACAGCAATATCAGCATCCATTTCCCAGCAGCTGCATTATGTTTTCTTTAGTGAATTGATTGCATATGCTTAGTTACCTCCTCTCAACAGAGCCTTCTCACCAGCCTTGTGTTCTTTACAATTGCCTCCAGGCAGCACAATAAGTGACCGATCCTCCTGCTGTAATAATGTTGACATAAATTCACATCACTAGGGGACATCTTCGTCTTGGACTGACAGTATGAGATGAGGCTCTCTAAGTTCCAGTCTGGTAACCTGTCACAGCTTATCATGGTCATGTCCGCCTGAGACAGAATCAGAATGATGGGATCTCATCTTGTCGCATCTCGTCATCTGATGTTCCTGTTGCAGCTTTATTGTTCTTTGCTATCATCAATATCCACCAGTCTTCATTATTCTCTTTTAGTCCCTAGCCCTTTTCATCCAATATTGCGTCCACTTTCTATTTTATATGTTGCCTATCTCCGCCAGAACCTCCGCTCCTTCTTTTAATTGCTCTTCTTGAACCCCTCGACTAACTGTGGCACCTTCCTTTAATCTTGCTCATAGCAAGCAGACATAAAGAAAGCTTCCTACTGAGCTCCCAGTAGGTCTGAGAAAAACATCGGGCATGACATAGATGGCCCAGATGGCTGAACTCAATTAAATGCTGGTGGGCACTCTGCACATACCTTTGCGTTGGTCACAACATAAAGCTTAAGTCTGAATAATAGTTGGTTTGAATTTTTAGAATCGTCGATCATAAGAGATGCTAAGATTTGAGCACCACAAATCAGTAATTTTGTATATTTTAAAGGCTGAACAAGTGCAGAAAAAAGGCAAAAAGATGACAGTTGGTTGGAGGTTATTTTTAGCATACACTTGTTGAGGCTGAAATATTTCATGTCACATTCAATGGTTTACTGTAAAAGTTGCCTCTGTTAAGTTCCGTATCAGAACACCTCGGATATCACGCAAAGGTTTATATTTAAACATCATTTGGAGCTTAGTTCAGCAAGATATTTTGTCCAGTGGTCCCCAGACATTTGCATGCAATGCAATCGCTAAAATACTGTTGATGTTGGCACCCAAACCCTCACAGGCTGTGCAGCTTTTGGTGATGAGGCAATTCACCTCACAATGCACGATTTCAGCCATGCAAATGTGTGTAGGTTAATCAAATTTTAAAGTGTCATTACAGGGCTCAGGATGCGCTGGGTGATGTGCATGCACTCCCACTCTGTCTGTGGCAGCCGTCCTCCACAGAAACCCTCTCATAGCATCTTTGCGACAGGCCAGGAAGGGCTCTGCTATCCAGAGGCAACAGAAATGTGACAGGCATGAACCCAGCGCACACAGAAATATGACAGCATTACACATTCCAGCATGCTTCTGTGACACAGACACGTTCCCATCCAGCAGGAGGGAGGAGGAGGACAGGTTTAGGAAGTAGCTGAAGGTTGAAATGCTTGTTCTGACACCAAAAGACAAAGAATCATTTCAATAAAAAACAGTTTTTTTTATCTTTATTCAGTTTACTTACCAACCAAGACACACACTGTGGAATTGTTTATTTTAGATCATTTTAAATGGACGCGTTTGGCATACTATCTATATTATTCCCTTATTGCTTTTGAAACAACAAATAATTTATTAGTGTATCATTGTACTTGTTACACATTGTTTTCACTCATCATTTGCTTTTGTAAAAATCTGGTGTTTGTGGCTGTGTGTCAGGAGGA